CCGAAGCTAATCAAGAGAGCAAATCTCATAGAGAGGGGCTGGTTAAGAGATGTGCGTGTGTGTGTGTGTATGTGTGCGCAAAAGGAGATAAGAATAAGAGCTGAAAAATATCGATACCTGAGACTATCGATGTTTTCGATTGCTTTTACGCAAATATCGATAGTATCGATATTTTTTAAAAATGAAAAAAATTAAACGAAATTAGTTATAATAGCAAAAAACAAATTTCTTATTTTGTCTAAATATAAGTAAAATTTCCAATACAATTCATTTGAGCTGGGTAAACATCGAAGACATCGATGATTCCAAAAAAAAGTCATCGATAGTTCTCAAATACCAAATACATCGATATATTGATTTTCAACTCTAGTTAGTTTGTTTGCGTTGTCTGTCTGACTGTCGCTAGGCCTAGGGTATCTACTAGCCGGGCACTGCCGACCAACAAAGCAGCTTTAGCCAATTTTCGTGCGAGAATATTTAAATTTAATCAAATGTCTGTAAAAATGTTTACCATGCCTTTTATAACACAACAACAGCACGCATATGACTGTGTGTGTGTGGGTGTGTGTATGTGTGTGTGTGTGTGAGTGTGTGTGTGTGTGTGTGTGTGTGTGTGAGTGTGTGTGTGGCACAACCTGCTTTTGGTACGTTGACTGGGTAATTTGTTGGCCGCGCACAGGTCAGGACAACAGCCAATTTTATTTTATTTTTTATAGTTTTTTTGGCATTTTCATGGGACCCACACAAACCGCAACCGCCCCCCCACCCCGCCCACTTTTCCGGCTGCGTGCGCTGGTACAGTTTTCGCATACCATATACCATATATATATATATATATATATAGAAGAAGAAGAAGAGAAGAGCGTATTTACCTAGGGTAGCCTGGAAGCGAGCTGCGAGTCGCGTGTTTGCGCCCGGGGTGTCAACCAATTTCGCGTGTCTCCTGCCCACCTATGCGCCACGCCCCCTCGCCCCCTCGACCCTGCTCGCTGTTTTGTTAGCCAAGTTGTTATTGTTGGCGCTGTTGTACATGAATATATATACATATATATAGAGATATGTTTATATATATTTTCACATGGCCATTTCATTTCATTTCAATTCATTTCATTTATTTATGCAATATTTTATGTGCTCATTCATTCAGTTTTTTTTTTGTCGTTGTCATTTCGCGGAGCTCCTATCTATTCTATTAATTTGTTGTCACTCGGTTCCGTTTCGCTCTGTTACGTTGTCAATTTTGTTTATATGTGAATATGTACATATATATATATATATTTATATAGGCAAGTCGTGCCATAAACCTCATTCATCTTAATTTGTTTTGCGTTACGTTTCTCCCTTCGTTTTTTTATGATGATTTTTTTGTGGTGGTATTCGTTTTTGGTTCTTGGCGAATGTTTTTCCTTGCTTTTGTCAAGGATTGTACAGAAGAATCGCATAAATCAATTGTGTATTATAATGAAAATCAATTAAGGATATTACAAACACAAAAAACAACAACAACAACAACAACACACGCTGTAAATAAAGACTCCTTCCTCCATCTCTTGTACAGATAAAATAATATTTATTGTGTTTGTTCGTTTGTTGATAAACAATTCTATTCGCTTTTGATTTCGAATAATTCCTAATTATTTGAAGAACTGTTGTTTGTTGTCTTTCGTTTAGTTCAATTAATGTTTAGTTTGTTTATTGATTTTGTTTAATATTCTTAATAATAACTCTTGGAAAAATAACTCTTTGTACATGATTATAATTGTTAATGTTTTATATTAATCCACTGCTAACCAAAAAAAATTAATCATCATTCAGTGAAATCATCGCCTCAATTTTTGTACAATTCTTCAAACGAGCGAGTGAAGCTTATTTTTGTATTGTCTTATGTTTCGGCACAGAACGAAGCTGGAATATGATTTCCGAAATGGGTTCAATTGCATGATATAATACATTTAACTTCTGTTTATCCGATTCGATCGATTAGAGCAGTGTGCTCTGTGTATATATAAAAGACTGGCCCGGACGACGCCGGGTAATTTCTGCTAGTTGTAAATATTTCATTTTTACATCCCATGTGTGTGTGTGTGTGTGTGCCGCTTTTGGAAATCATAAAAACAATTCAAGGACTCGCGGGTTTCTTCATCATTCAAATCAATTTTTATACGTTTGTCCGTTTTCCCAGTTCCCGAACGAAATTTCCCTGAGATACAATTTTCATTTGTCGCTTCAAGAACTTTTGCATTTTTTGTTTGGCAACTAAAAAAAAAATAATCTAAACACATTTTGTATAATAATCAATCAATAGCAAATACATTCCCACATCCAATTAATCATAATTTAGTTATTCTCTGTCACACTTTGTTTTGTCGAAAAAAAAAAGAAAAGAAAAGGATTTCAGCTAAATTTTGTAAAAAAAAAAAACCAAAACAATTATTTACGCGTGCTGTGCGCCTTTTTGGCACAAGCCAAAGAAAATTGTAAATGAAAAAACGAAATAGTAGCAATTTATATATTTATGTATATATATTTTGCATACATATATTGTACATGATGATCAAATGTTGGGATGGGCTGCCCGCTAGTGACCGCTAGTATAATTGTCTCATTTATCAATTACTTGTTGTACTTTCTTCTTACTACATTCTAACCTAACCTAAAAACCTACTACTATTTAACTACTTACCCTACTACTATTTGTACTACTACTACTCTACTACTTCTACTACTATTCGCTCTATGAGTTCACACTTTTCCTATCTCCCCCCCCTCGCCCCCCTTCCCCCACCTCACCCGTGTTGTTGTTTCCGTTTTTTTTTTTTTTATAACATATATGTGTGTGTGTCCGTGTTTGTACCTTTTAGTTAGTTGTTACTGTCTTCTACTTGTTTTTTCGTTTTCTTTTCTTTTTTTTTAGTTATTTTTCTTTTCTTGCGTTTTGTTAATTTGTACATAATACTAAATGTGTGTGTTAATTAATTAATGTAATTTTAACATGAAACTCAACAATTTCTGCTCTCGGTTCTTATTCATAATTTATATTTGTACTTTTCCGTACGAAACTCCTAACTAGATGTGTGTCATTTTTCATTCCGTTCGTTCTAAGTGTTGTTTTGTGCGTGTGTGCTTGTTTGTTTGCGTACAATATTATCGTATTATAGTCCAGCTATAAATATTACACACATTACATTTAACCATTTACATACACATGTGTGTGTGAGCGTGTGTGTGTGTGTGCGTGTGTGTGTGTGTGCGCGCCAACAAAAGGAATTAAAACCAAAAACCACATACAACAAATATTATACATAGTTTATTTTTAATGTCCTGTGCTGTCGTATTTTTGCCTTGTCATGATATACAATGCTTCTTCGTAGTAGTTGCCGCCAAACCAACACTGAACAGCATAATCACACACTTTCCAACACACACGAACGCCACGCCCTAACAGCGCCTTGTTATAACGTTATGCTTTTCATCAAGTCTAGTTGCTACTTAATTACAATCATTACTCAAAGAGGCCACACACACACACACACACACACACAGACACATAGAATACAAAAAACTCTACACACACAGAAACTCTACAGACACCTTCCCAACACACACACACACACGCCCACACGCCCACCTACTCTACACACGCCCAGCATTTGGCTTATAAACGACTGTACATAATTTTTGGTTGAATTTTGTTCAAGCGATATTCGTGTATTTTCCAACACTATTCTGTGTGTGTGCTTGTTTTGATTTAGTTTAGAGATTATTGAAAAAACAAAAAAAAAACGCTCCCGAATTGTTTGTTGTGCCTTTTAGCTGTAAAACCTTTTGTACTACATGTATTTACAACTACATATACATATGCCTGTCTGTGTTGGTTTCCTAACCATATATATATATATACATATATCTATATCTTATTATAAAGCTAACGGATTAAGTTACGATTAAAAAAAAAAACAGCAACAAAAAAAAGAGAGGACCCTTTACCAAAATCGAAACCAACAAACTGCGAAAACTACATTTGCCAAAAAACCGCAAATCAAACTAATCTTTTTATGATTTCTTAGCATACGAGTATTACATATTTAATTATTCGATTATTAATTTAATTAATTATTTTTATATATATTTATGTTATGCTTGCCCTAGCAACAGAAATACCAAAAAAAAAAAAAAATATTGTTTAACAAAAGTTATCCTTTGCCTTGTAGCCCGACTTTCTTCGGTTCCGGTGTGTGTCTCTATCAAGAGAGCCCGAAAGACCATGTGTTCTTTTTCTTCTTCTTTTCTCTCTTTTTTTTTTAATAACTAATAGTTTAACGTGTTGTTTTTTCAGTTGGTTTTTTATAATACACAAAGCTCAGCAATGCAAAAAATCTCGCGCATTGTCGGGAAATAAAAGCAAAAATTTCTCTTGTCTTTTTGATTTGAGTTTGCGCCTCATTTAATTTTTGAACACACATTTCAACAGAAATTGTTGTTGTTTCAGCTCATTGTGTTGCCGCACTCGAAGCTGACTTTCTCCCGCGACTTCTCGAGCGACTTCTCCGGCGACTTCTCAGCAAGCCAGCGAGAGGCCACTTAATTAAAGAAATATCTGTTTAATTTAAATGGCATTCTTGACGTTGCGAGCAGCTTCCAGTGCGACGCACAAAAATGATTTCAAAAAATTCTTTAGAACTTTGTAGCATTGTTTTTTATTTACTCCTTAAAAAAAAAAAAAACAAAAAAAAACTCACCTAAATGTGTTGTTTTCTATCTATCTAACTATCTATCTAACTATCTATCTATCTATCTAATTAAGCTAAACTATCTAACTATACTTTGCTATTCTAATCGATCCATTTCCCTTTTGAAACGTATTCCCATTTCCCATTTCGACTTATTTCCGCCTTTCTCTCTGTGTGTGTGCGTGTTTTCTTTGTCTGCAACGAAACTGTCTTAGCGATTTGCATTAATTGTATTTCTATGTGTGCTTTTCAAATAATCATGTCCCCCAGACTTTTGCAAGGGCCGTGAGACTTTACAGAATCTCTGCGATCAAATACCGGGCGATGCTCTGCTCTATTCCCTCTTCCGCGAGAGCGCCGAGCCGGTCAAGTGCCCGCTAAAGGGTGAGTACCCCAAACAAACCATTAATTAATTAATCAATTAATCAATTAATCATCATCATTTCCTTCGCAGGTCCCTTCATATTCACGTACAATCGCGGCCACGGCGAGTGCAAGTCGCCCGTCTCGAACATCGAGAGCTGCACCGAGGAGAGTCGCCTGCTCCTCAGTTTTCAGGCCTGTCCCGATGTCCAGGGCACCGAGAGCACGGGTAAGTCCACAACATGACTCAAGTGAATGCTCTCAAAGCTCTCTCGCTTGAGTATCAGTCGATTTTTTTGTCAAGTTAAATGAGACGTTTCTGAGAAATCGAAAAGATACAGGAATACATATTCAAGCATGTTACAGTACGCACTCGTTAAATCCGACACTTTAAAAGCGCACTTATTTTACTGTTGGGCAACGGATCTCCCTTTCCACACTTTATCTTTCATTTCATTCAATTAAGTTGCCTTACACCGAAGATTAAATACCCTTACAGCTTGCGGTTTTAGAGATATTTGAGGAGAATTGTGCAGCTCGCAAGTGCAGATGTCTTGGCAAACAGAAAGCTCTTGGCTCAAAAGATGTTTCTGGGAAATCAAATAGATACAGGAATACATATTCAAGCAAGCCACAGTAGGCCCTCATTAAACGCGACCCACTAAAAGCGCGGCTGTTGCAAAAACAGGTTAATAGTAAATATTGCCCAACGAATCTAACGAACGAAATGAATCGATTAAATGCGTATCTTGAGTACTAAATTTGGCGAAATTATTATTGGTCACGTAAAAATGGTACCCTCAAATATCAAATATCCTATATAGACATGGGTCAAAATTTCCCACCCCCATAACTCGGTCAATTCTCATCCGATTTTCACGAGGTTTGGCTTTTTGTTCATGGTTTGGCCTCTAAATCAATTTGGCATTTAAGTCTGGCAACATTATTTTTGGTCGAAATTCATGTTAAGAATGAACCCTCAAATATCCTATAATGACATAGGTCAAAATTTCCCATCCCCATAACTTGGTCAAAACTCATCCGATTTTCACGAGATTTGGCTTTTTGTTCATGGTTTAACCTCTAAATCAATTTGGCATTTAAGTCTGGCAACATTATTTTTGGTCGAAATTCATGTTAAGAATAAACCCTCAAATATCCTATAATGACATAGGTCAAAATTTCCCACCCCCATAACTCGGTCAAATCTCATCCGATTTTCACGAGGTTTGGCTTTTTGTATATGGTTTGACGTCTAGATTAATTTGGCATCTAAATCTGGCAACATTATTTTTGGTCGAAATTCATGTAAAAATGGTACCCTCAAATATCAAATATCCCATATAGACATTGCTCAAAATTTCCCAACCTCATAACTCGGCCAAATATCATCCGATTTTTTATTAGGTTTGATTCCTTCTTTATGGTTAGGCCTCTATATTAATTTGGCATCTAAATCTGGCAACGCTATTTCTGGCGAAAATTCAAGTGAAAATGTTACCCTCTAATATCCTTTATAGACATAGTTCAAAACGAGGATAGCTGTGAAATTGTGAGAAGCCCTTCACAAGGGTTTTCAGAAATGAAAACTTTTATGTTTTGTTGCACAGCAGCAGATCGGTTGTTGAGTTTAACGAGGATCTGCGTGTACCGAGGGTTGCTTTAGGGAAGGGTTTACTTTGTATTTGAAATTTTAACATATTTCTTTACCTAATTAGACTTTCGATGGCTATAGAACCAATGTCTGGCATTTATAATATGTTAAAGGTTAGGTTTAAGTTGAGCTTTCCTCTTTGTTGATTTATTGATTCATTTTAGGGTTTGATTCATATTTAAACTGACCAAAAACTGATTTGCAGACTTGTATCTTTGAAATGTATCTTAAAGACGTTTGAAAATGTTACCAAAAAAGATTCGAAATTGTTGTTAATTTTAAGATTTCTTGCTGCCATTTTATTTGGCTGTTAACTTATATACAAGTTTGTCAGCTAATATAAATATGGTTAATAGAAATATACACTCTTGTCCGTTAGCAGACTTTTCACTGTATCGCATATTCCCGACCTCTTTGCAGTTGAGGAGCTGACCTGCCTGGCGACCTGGAAGGATGGCAACTCACGCTATTTGGTGGGTCTTGTCTTGCATCATCATGCCATTTCGAATGAGGAGCGTTATCGCTGCTTTGTTTACGAGAAAATCTCCTCGCTGATGGGTAAGAAAAGCTGCTTGGCAAACAGCTGGAAAAATGTGTTCACAATTCAACTCAATTCAACTTTTATAATCCTTGCAGGCGGACCGAGCATGCTCAGCTCGAAGGATGCCGAATATAAGCTGGCGCAATCCGGCGACGCCACTTGCAATGGCTTAGACAGCGCCGAGGTAAGCATCAAGCTAGCTACCCAAACCCCAAATCCAAAATCAAAGCCACGCCATTAAATTCGTTTCGTTCCCCTTCCCGCAGGTTGGCTCGCGAATAATGTCGCTGCGGAAACCGCCGGCGGCTGAGCGCTGCGATTTTCCCGCTTGGTTCAAGGGTCCGCGACACTGGCATGCACTTATGGGCAATGCCGTCTACAATTATCATGCCAAGTGAGTGGCAACAACAACAACAACAACGGCAACGGCAACGTCGCCTGCGGCATGCTCGTCCGACACTGACAGCCAATAAAACGTTTCCAATTTCTTTACAGTGATGGCTCCGTGCACATTATTAAGCCCAACGGCTACATGGAGACACGTGCTCTCTGCGAGCAGATAAACAAACAGACCTCAACCGAAATGATGGCTGTGGTGCACTATACCACCGGCTGGTAAGCTATACCAAAAAAAAAAAAATAAACCCTGTAAGAAATCCCGCCGTAACTCGCTTTTCCCTTTGCAGCAAATCCGGGTTTATGTGCATGATGTTTTACCGTCGGGACACGCACGTCATTGAGATACAAACGGGCAAGCAGGCCACTCGTCTGGAGGATGCCTGTGCACCGGATCACTTTGACTTCAATAAGATGGCCTACATAACGCTGCTGGGTACGTTTTGTGTGCACGCTCTATGCGCTGTTTTAATACCCTGTAACCAATTGACAACGGGCTGTGAATGGGGTATAATAAAGTAAATATTTTCCTGGTCAGCAACCTAGTCGATAAAGCCGTGTCTGTCCAACTATCTATTTATCTATCTAGCTATCTATCTATCTATCTATCTATCTATTTGTCTGCCTGTCTGTCTGTCTATCTATATGTCTGCCTATCTATCTATATATCTATCTATGTATCTATCCATCTATCTATCTATCTATCTATCTATCTATCTATCTATCTATCTATCTATCTATCTGTCTGTCTGTCTCTATGAAGTTTCAGAAGTTTTTTGAATATAACATTTTATTTAGATTTTGTCTGAGATAAGAAGCAATTTTCGAAAGGTTTTGCTGCATATTTTTTGGGTTAGTTCCGGCTACAGGGTATCTTCTAGCTGTGCACTCTGATTTGATCGATTCTCTATTTTGCATTTTACTCAGCTTGGTGGTCAGAGATAGGAAGGAATGCTTAAAATGTTTTGCTGCATATTTGTTAGCCTAGTTCCGGCTACAGGGTAACTTCTAGCTGTGCACTCTGATACAGGGTATCTTCTAGCTGTGCACCTTTATTTGATCGATTCCCCTTTTTTCCATTTTACTCAGGTTCGAGGTCTGAGTTAAGCAGAAAAGTTTAAAAAGTTTGAGTGCATATTTTTTGGCTTAGTTCCGGCTACAGGGTAACTTCTAGCTGTGCACTCTGATTTGATCGATTCCCCTTTTTTCCATTTTACTCAGCTTTGAGGTCTGAGTTAAGCAGAAATGTTTAAAAAGTTTGAGTGCATATTTGTTTGCTTAGCTCCGGCTACAGGGTATCTTCTAGCTGTGCACTCTGATACAGGGTATCGTCTAGCTGTGCACTCTGATTTGATCGATTCCCGTTTTTTCCATTTTACTCAGCTTCGAGGTCTGAGTTAAGCAGAAATGTTTAAAAAGTTTGAGTGCATATTTGTTTGCTTAGCTCCGGCTACAGGGTATCTTCTAGCTGTGCACCTTTATTTGATCGATTCTCTTTTTTTTTGTACAGCAAGCAATCCGGAACCGCATATCTGCCCGATGGAGGGCCTGTACACTCTGCGCGGCGCAATTGGGCCGCCTTACCTGGTCACGCGCCACAAGCGCAATCACAATGGCAAATCGCATCTCGGACATGGCCATCATCATCATGGCGATGCCTTGGATGCCGGCTCCTTTGCCCACAAGGGGTATGTTTGAACTTTTGATCAACAGCAGAGCAAGAAGCACAACTCAATTGTGTTTTGTCTATTTGCGGCAGGCACAGCACACTCAGCTTTCGCAATGCCGAGCGCATGGAGCGTGGCTCCTGGCATGCCAACACGCGCGGCCTGCCCGTGCGCAGCCGACGCAATGCACTCCCGGCACAGCAGGAGCCGCAGCAGCAGCAACTCCAGCAACAGCAGCAGCAGCAGGAAGCTCTGGTGCTGAGCAGCGCCAACGATACCAGCGTGGGCTTCGTGGCCACGCGCAGTCGTCGCGATGTGCCCGGCTGTGTGACCAACTACAATGCCCAGCGACAGCTTTGGGTCGGCTGCACTGCGCCCAATGTCATCGATGTGAGTCCCCTGTGCAGCGTGGACGGCGAGGAAGGTAAGCGAGGCGCCCTCTCCAACATCAGCTACTCTAATGTTTGCCCCTTTCCACACGCAGAGTACTCCTGTCATGGCTCGTGGAGCGAGAACAGCACCGTCTACATTATAGCCAGGCACAAGGGCACCAAGCATGGCGTCTGCATTAGCTACAGGCCAACGGAGGGCAATGCAGCCAAGCTGGTTGTCGGCGATGCCTGCTATCGCGGCACGCAAAAGCCGCCCGATCATCATCTGGTGGCCAATCTATCCGTTTTTGGTTTGTGCTATTTATATGAACTGTACTCTGGTCCTGACTGACCGATTGATTGACTGACTGACTGACTGACTGGTGGATGATAAAGCCACTTTTTGAGTTTTCACCTGAGACTAGAGAGAGACCCATGTAAACATATCCAATCCAATGAAGATGGGGATTCAATTATGTTTGTTTAGATTGATTTATAGACGGAAGATGGGTGAAAATCGATGTCCTGTTATAATATATACAATAATAACGAAGGAAAATGAAGTCCAATCAAATCTGAATATAGATGATAAAGCTACTTTTTGGGAGACCAATGTTAACATTTCCAATCCAATGAAAATGGGAGTTCAATTAAGTTAGCTTCGACTAATACGTAGACGGAAGATGGGTGAAATTGTGGTGAAAAGGAAAAATACCTTCTATGAAGTGTAACTAAGGAAAATGAAGTCCAATCAAATCTGTACATGTCACTTGTAAAAAAAAATAGCCTACTCAACACATTTTAGTGTATTATTCTAATACTTTTCCGTTCTATATCTGCAGGTAAATGCGGCGAAACAGGCTCCAGCGCCAGCACAGCTCACCTGGCCAACTGGATGGTTCTGTTGGCCATGTTGACGTGTCTAACGCTGCAAAGCTGAGTTAATCGGGCGAGTAGCATCTAATTTGGGACTGCACAACATTCAACAATTTCGATAGCCAGGCAAGAGGAGCAAGAGGAGCCTGCACCTAAACCCAAAAAACCACAACCAAATCCCCAATATGATGAACATGTATACAAGACACACACATTTAAGACTAATTGTACATTGCATATTGTATATGTAAGGCCTAAGCGACCGTAAAAACAATTCAAATATCCTTTGCTGTATATAACTTATTTGTTTATTGTTTATCAACCTTGTTTTGTTTAGTTCTAAGTGCTTTATATTTGAAATCAATATATTATATATATATAAAAGAAAAAAGAAGTTAAAATTAACGAGCAAAAAAATGGTTTGCAATAAAGCCTTAGAGCAAGCGCTTAGTTTAGGCCTAGTTAAGCGCGCCTTTTGCGAAATGTAGCGCTGCAGTTTAAGCAAATATTTCTTTATATGTAAAACAATTATGCAGAAAAACACAAAAATAAAATAAAAATGAAAAATGATTAAGCAAAAGACAAAATATAACAACTACATATACGAATAGAAGCTAAAAGCTTAACGTTCTGTATGCTTAATAAAGTTCTATGCATTTATTTTTCTATATCATTTCCAAAATGTTTCCTACAACAAAAAGTACACACACACAAACATACACACACATATACATAAATACTAAGTGGAAAAACGAAACAAAATAACAACTTTCTAGCAACTACGTAAATGTATGTAAAAGTTTAAATTAGTTTTCAAATTGTACAAAAAACAAAAACACAAAAAAAAAAGAAAAGGAAATGCAGAAAACGCGTACACACACATATATATTTTGTTGTACAGTGCAAAATAGTTTGTAATAAGCATAATTATACTAATAATACATATATATATATGAGAATATATATATATATATATGTGTATACATAATAATACAATTTTGCATAGGATCACATTGGTTTCATACATACATAATTAATACCTTGCAAAAACTAAGCATACAATACATACACATAGACATATATATATATAGATATATATATATATATTGTATGATTCATAGCGCAGGCATAAGAAATTGTGAAGTTTCATGAACTTTGAACTTTATTAAGTAGCTGCACATCACACACGTTCATAATCAATCAACTAATTTCTAATAAAACACACAGACACAAACCGAGGACAACCAATCCGAGAGACAACAATGAATCAGCAAGAAATGCTAAGAAATAATTAGAGTGTTTAAGGCAATTAAGCGGTGATATAGGTCTAGAATAAACAAAACAAAATGCAACTGTATAAACAACAACATCAACAGGCAGTCAGGCGGACAGACAGACAGACAGACAGACAGAGGCGATAAGCCTAAAGATAGTGTATCCAAAGGATTTCAGAAACTAGCATTTTCCCTCGATTACATATAGAGTTAAATAAACAAAACAAAACAAAAATCCAATTTTGTCCTAAAAGTGAAAAACAAACGAAAAGAAAAAACAACCCCTCGCGGTTAATAACTAACAATTCCGTAGCCTCTTCCAGGCGCATGCATAATTAAACTAGTCAAAATTTACGAAAATTTCCACAAAAAAAAAAAAAAATCCATGTAAATAGCGAATGTTATGCGAATTGATTCACGAACAAATTTTCAAATTGTATTGCGGTGTAAACATATGTAACTAATTGCTAGTTAGCTAAAAGTATATTTGTGAGCGAATGATATATAACTACATACTATATACACATAGGCGAAACGCTGGGAGCTGCAGCAGACAAAGTGGGCTAACTGAATAAGGGTTACTTTCTAAGTACTACACATATATATAAATATATATATATAAAGGTATATAGTATAGTTGTAACTGAAGCAGCGGACATACTATATTCAAAAGACAACAGATCAAGCGGCACACTCGAACCATAGCATCCAGTCCCCCCACCCCCCCTCAATAGCCAGGACGTCGACACTCCCAGGACAAGACAAATCAATAAAAGAAAAAATAGCAATATCGAATCGAATAATGGTTATAGAGCCGAGCGCGCCAACAGCAGCTAAACTAATATGCAAAACATATTTTTGAGTGTACCTATCAAATAAGTATTTCAAATTTGTTGTCAGCTTTTACTAAGTAAATATAAACAATTAAAGAACAACAAAAAACAAAAACAAAAGCGAATGCATTTTAACAAAGTAAGAAACAAACTTGGCAAATAGACACACGAAATCCATATGCAAAAGACACAGGTTTTATGACCCAAAAAAAAAAAGAACACAACTCTCTTTTATGCAATCCGATATCCAATTTATGTTTATTTACGCTTAGCTGTTTTTGTTTTGCAATTGTTAAACTCAGACACAGCCCCAATTCACAAATGTGGTCCAATTCCCGTCACTTTCGCCCTCTTTGCTTTCGTACTCCATCCTTAAACTTCGCACTGCATAAACGTGTGTGTCTCCACAAATGTATTCGACGCAAAACCCATTTTAAGGCAAATTATGAATATTTTTGTAAATAGTTAAATGCAATGCTTGAATTTCGGTCCCAACAATCCCTGCAATCGTGTGTAGGCGGGGCCACGCCCAAATACGCCCAACTTGCAGGCGCATTTTTGGCCGCGAACGGAATCCAATTGGAATGTGAACGAACGCTAAGCTTAGACCTAAGTGATTTTTATATATATATTCAAGAAGCGATTTTATAAATCATTTTAATTGTCTATTTTAAAGCAAAAAACGAGCAAAACAAATACCGAAAATTGTAAACGCAATTAATTTAGTTGATGTGTGTGAAATACTTCTGCAATTTTTGTCAATAATGTTCAATGTTTTCGAGTCCTATGTTTATAAATTAATTGTTTCAGTTTTTTTAAGGCAAATATAAATAAAAATACAAACTAATTACAAATATAACAAACGCACGCGTTTTACTTACCTCTCCAACCAAAAATCTCTCAATAATTGCCATTCATTTCAAATACGTAAATATATAGTTTTCAAACTTATTTTTATTCTTAAGTTTATGGAGGTGAAAATTGTACAATTTAATTTAAATGCCGTGTCTTACTTAAGTGTAATGAAAATAGTTTAATATGAAAAAGGTTTTCAAAAACATGTTGCAAATTTTTTTTAAAAATTATTTTTTAAATAATTTGTTTTATAATCCAAGCCGTAAGAGATAAATATTTTCCGTGTTACCCCCAATAATAGAAAAGTCTCGTGATTAACTCAATCCAAAAACATTTTACAATTAATTTTTAATGCTGAATTCTTCAATTAGAAAATTTAATTTAAAAAACAATACTTGCAAATTATTTATATAATTTTAAAATAATTTATTTCATTTTAAAATCTGAATTATTAAATTACAAAATTGAATTTTTTTAAAAAAATGCTTGCAAATTATTTAAATAATTTCAAAATAATTTATTTCATTTTAAAAACTGTTTTACTGTTCAAGCCGAAGGCTAAAAGAAAAATATTTTCCGTCTTTCACTAACAATAGACAAATCCTGTGATTTAAACTTTATCCAAAAAGTTATTTTTCAAAAAGCTTTAAAATATTTGAGTTCATTTGAAATACAGTCGAAGCCGTAAGAATCGTTAAACTAAAAAATTTTACAATTCATTTTAAATGCTGAATTATTTAATTAAAAGTCCAAATCTTTAATTATATGATATGAAAATAGTTTAATTAATTTCAAAAACTGTGCAGCTTACAAGAGTTGTTCTTCAAATAGTTAAAAAAAATTTAAATTCCTTTCAAATAGCGTCCAAATCGAAAGAGTCAAAATATTTCCGAAAAAATTTATCTAAAATTTATTTATAAAAATATTTATCTATCAATTATTCATTTATTCGAGTTCTGCTCAGATTTTAAAGAAATGTTTTTGAATAAATTCTGATTAGATCAAATCTTTGGCTCATTTGGCTCATATATTTTAGGTTACATTTTATTTTCACGGGTAATTCCCGCTATATATCATTAAATTAGGCTAAGTTAAAAGGAAAGACTTCAGTTGAGGCCAGTTCCATCTGGTTCGTCAGTTCCACAGGAGAGGCTCGAGTCGGACTTCATGCAGCTGGAGCATCCATGGGAAGTACTCGTACTGATCCTTGAGCTCTTCTTCAGACATCAGATAGGAATAGTTGATCGGCATCTCCAAAGTATTTCCATCTCCAGGGACATCTTTTGGGCTACTCGTTCATGGTGCATTGAATATTTTTTATCTCTTTGTTCATATATTTGGTGGGTGAGGTTTTTGTTTGGTTGGTAGCTTAAATACCAAAGCAGGGTCTTTTTTTTATTATTCATTTTGTTTGGAACGAATGTTCAAGATGGGAAAGAGCGAGAATTGCATCAGAAAACCTCACCCGAAATTGGATGCTTCTCATAAGTCGTACGACATATATGTTGGGAGAGTCAAAGGAGTGAAAGAATGTCCAACAAATTAACATACATATACATTTACATGTATGGAAACTGTTAATATTGAATATGTTATTTCACATTTAATATAAAAATTGTTAAATATTGGAATGTTTTGAGAATGTTCAACATACATAGATATTTATGTGCACAAAAGCCATGGAAATAGTTAGTATACCAAATATGATAAGGGTGAAAATAAACAAAAACAAAAAGGTTTTTATTGCAATCAGTTAAAGTTTAAAGATAATTAGTGTATTGTGTAATAATATAATATAATAATGCAATTTGTGCTTGTTACATCAAAAATGTATATTATTTAATTTGAAGGATTAAATAGTTATAAGATGCATGTAACTTATAAAAATTTCCTAGCTTGACAAATAAATACAATACATAGTAATAAATAGAAAAACTAAAAACTAATTTAGCAGACAAATTTTCCACCATTTTAGTTCAAGAGAATTGTGCTTGTGTTTATTTATTATTTTTAATCAAATGAAAAGTAACCAAATATCCAAAAAAAAAAAATATATATTTGCCTGTTAGGAAAATACATAACTTAATTTTAAAAAAATTTTACATGATAATGTAAATAAAAATTGGTTAGGATATTATTCTTTTGGATAAGACGTAATGTCGCAGTTTCCTAGAAGACTTTGCTCTGGAGAATCGCATCCTTGATGTATGTTGATTGATTTGTTTAATGCACAAACTGTGTGGAAAATCGTTAAAATGTAAAAAAGAGCTGTGTGGGAAATATTTTAAATGTAAAAATATAGCTGTGGGAAATCTTTGATATGTTAAAGAGCTGTGTGGGAAATTTTTGGAATGTTATCTTTGAAATGTTATAGAGCTGTGTGAGAAACCTTTTAGATATAAAAAAGAAATTTATTTTATGTAAAGGTGCAGCAGATGAAGTAAATCTTGAGTTTCATATTTCGTTATTCGGCGTGCTCCGTTGAAGCTTTCAGTTATTAGAATTATTAATAAATTGAAGAGGGATATTTTTAGCCATTATAATAAATAGGATCAGTAGGTCACATATTTTTTCCCTTTATGTTATCAAGTTTTATGAATACAAAAAACGCTGAAAATGTTAAGCTCATACTTAATACTTATTTTGTAGACGATTGTCTTTTAAATAAGGTGAGTTTTGTATCTTCAGATTTGTTTCCTTTTTGGTTGAGTAAAAAGATTGTGTTATATTTAAAATAAACATAGTTTTCAAGGAAGTTGCATTGCTTCAAAAATTTTCGATCCTCATTTTTCATTTCTTGCGATTCTAATTAATTAATCGAAAGGAGTTACTTAGATGCAATTATTGTAATCAACGTTGAAGTTTCAGAGTGAAGTTGTATATTAAACAGACGTAAATCGGTAAAATAAACGAAGATAAGTTTGATTTCTAATATTATTATTGACACATTCCTCCATAATTCTCTCGTGGTTTCCGTAGTATGTTATATATCATATTGAAAAGATAGCTTATGTGATATTTTAAGCGAAGTCCATATGGTGAATTTTTGGATTATGGTGCTTACATTAATATTTCCAGATGTATTCAATGGCATTTAAAGCAAAGCTTTAATTAAAGTTTTTATCGTTTACAGACTGTGCATTTATGTTACCAAATCATAAAGTCCTTCTTGAAAAAAGGTACAGTGGAAGTGTTATTTATTAAAGTATAAAACACATAAGGGGAAAAAAATACACAGGGGAAAAAAATAAATAAGGGGAAAAAAGTAAACGACGAATTTACCACAGTTACATATATAATATATAATATTTTAAGAAAGTTGTGGGTATTTTTATAAGTTTTATACCAAATCAAAAGTAACCAAAAGTATCCAAAATTATTAATCCGTTTGAAAATGTTAAATAAAAATGAAAATAAATGATGCAACGAAGTGCAAATAAAATGGAAAAAGGGAGATTCGTATGGGATAAGACGTACTTTCGCAGTTTCCTAGTAGATTTTGTTCTTTCATCCTTGATGCATGTTGATTGAATAATTTAATGCCCAGGGAAAATTTCCTTATGTGGGAAATTTTATAAAAGTTAAGGCTGTGTGATAAAGGCGCAGCTAATTTAAATGATGCACGTTGATTGCATGATTTA